AATTTTTTTCTTACAAAACTTACAGTATTATCATTGTTGACAGAAGAAAAGGAAAGAAAGAAAAATAAGAAAAAGAATCTAAAACCACCAAGAAAGTAAATTAGGATTCGAATACTACTTCATACCGTTACATGAATTGACGAAAACTCGTTTTATCTTTATGTCGTCAAAAAGAAAAAACACTCTTTTACAGCTCACATATTGTTGAATCAGACAAAAACAAACGGTCTCCATACTAAACAATAACTTTCTTGACTTAACAATGTCAACAAAGAATTTTTCGCTGCAACAAATAGAGAATATTGAATTCATTTTATTTTTCTTTTTAGTTTCACAATCTTGATTTCACGTGTTATTTTTTTTTGCATAAAAAATGGGAGGAACACCTTCAAATTCGTCTAAATCGCCTGATGAAAATCTTGAATCGTTGTCACTAATTTGGCTCGATGCAGAGGTTGACAATTCCAGAGAAAACATTGACGTACAAAAACGACTTCGCTCAATCATTAATTATTTAAAGACATTTCAAGATCCAGTAGAATGCGAGAAGCACATTCGATCAGTTCCGGATGGTGATAGAATGTTATTTATCGTCAGTGGAGGATTGGGCCGAGATATAGTACCTCATATTCATAAACTTCGACAAATTCTTTCCATCTATGTCTTCTGTTTTGACAGAAAAAAACATGAAGAATGGACTCAAAATTATACCAAGGTGATTATTTAAGATTTCATTTGCTGATGCTGAATAATAATGTAAAAGTAAATTACCGTTAGATAAATGCGATGTTTTTCTTGAATATGTAGACAATAATTTTTCGAGTTTTCGTATGTCAAAAAAATGTTCACATCGATCGACCATGTTAAAATCTACAGAGATTTTCTTGAGAGTAGGGATGTTAGTTTGCATATAGAAGGTATTGTTAAAACCTACACCCACAACCTTCGATCTTTCGACATATCTAATTTTCATTATGTATGAACTCGGTCGTATAACTTAAAATATAAAAGAAAAGACAACCAATGAATACATGGAGGATACAAGGTTAAATAGTATGCTTCATAGAAAGAAAGAAAAAATTTGAATCCACTTAGAAGGCTATAATACTTGCTAGAGTAAAGTCAGTTGCAGTAAAAACTGTAAGTGATGCACGTAAAACTAAATCATTGATAGGTCGATGATTTGGATTGATTTCCAAAAGTCTATCGTTAACGACCTAATGTTACATTTCTCTCTTTAGATAAAAGGTTTATTTACTGACAAACAACAACTTGTTACTCGAATTCAATCGGATCGCGAAAGAAAGAAAAAAGGTGATGAGCCGATCTTAATCACTGTTCAAGGACAATCTACAAGTGAATTAAATGGTCAATTTGTTCATTCTCAAATCTTTATCGATGTTTTACTTCGTATAAAATCGACGCCAGCAGATAAAGATGAACTTATTTCTCGTTGTAGCACAATATACAAAGGCAATGAGTCGGATTTGAAGGTTGTCAGAGAATTTAGTAAAAAATATTCTCCAGATAAAGCTCTTTGGTGGTATACAAGAGAATCATTTCTTTATCGAATATTAAACAAGGCACTTCGAGTACAAAACACCGATTTACTTTTTCTATTTCGGTTTTTTATTGTTGATCTTCAACAACAATTGAACAATAACCGATGTTCGTCACCTGTTCGTCTTTATCGAGGTCAAATGATGGCAAAAGATGAATTGAAAGTCTTGTGTAATTCAGTTGATCAATTTATATCGATTAATTCATTTTTCTCGACTAGTGTCGATCGTTACGTGGCACTTGGATTTTTAGATCCGAGTTCTGATGATTTTGGACAAGTTTTATTTGACATTGATGCAGATCCTACTGTTACAACAAAACCTTTTGCTGATATTACAAAATTAAGTTATTTTTCTAATGAAAAAGAAATTTTATTCATGCTTGGATCGATCTTTCGAATTGTTGGTGTACGTAATGATAATCAAGTATGGATTATTAAAATGGTATTATGTTCTGATGATGATCATAATCTCAAAGCTATTTTTGAACATATGAAAAATGAACATGGTGGTGGAGAAAAAAATCTTCTTTCATTTGGAAATGTTTTAGCAGATATGGGCAAATTTGATGAAGCTGAAAAATATTATCTTCGTTTACTTGATCAACTTCCTCCTGATGAACCAGATATTGCTCGTTGTTATCATGGTCTTGGTAATGTTACCGATGAAAAAGGTGATTATGATTCAAGTCTTGAATGGCATGAAAAATCGCTCAAAATGAGAATCAAAGCATTAAAACCCGATCATCCTCATCTTGCACCTAGTTATATTAGTATTGGATGTGATCATTTTAATAAAAGTGATTATCCAAAAGCACTTGAATCATATAATACAGCACTCGAAATTATTAAAAAAGCTTTTGGTGAAAGTCATCCTGATATTGCTATGTGTTTAAATAATATAGGTTGTGTATATGAACGACAGAAAAATTATTCCAAAGCACTTGAATGCCATCAACAAGCATTGGATATTCGTTTGGATTACTTACCTAAAGATCATCCTGAAGTTGCTCAATCACATCATAATATGGGTAATATATATCGTTGTCAAGGCGAATATGATCTTGCACTTCAACACTACAATGAATCACTTGAAATTAAAACAAAGTCTTTACCTCCAGAACATCGTGATATTGCCTTAACCCTTGAAAACATTGGCAATATATATAAAGACAAAAAAGAATACCATAGAGCACTGGAATATTACAAAAAAGCTGAACATATTTATTGTCATTCATTACCTCCTACACATCCAAGTGTTCTGCAAATTCAAGAATATATTAGATATTTATCTTAATTATGTAATTTCCATTTTAATTATGAGTTATGAATTATTTCTGAAAACAATGAAATCTAAATTCATATTTATTAAAAATAAAATACGATAATCAGATTTAGAAAGTTTAAGATTGAAATTTAAGCTGATAAGCTACTACATCGGTCTCACATTTGATTTTCATTGCTAGAAATAGAAACTTTTTAAGAACATTTTTAGCATTTCATCAATTCCAAATTTATTTAATGATCGAATGCATTAATTGTTGCCAACTTACTGATGTGAGAATGATTTTGACAGAAGCCTCGTTTTATATTGTCACCATCAAAAAAAACAAAGATCTAAACTATTCATTGACATATGCAACAGAAGTTAGAGGTCCATAGGATACTAATAAAAGGTCAATGTTCAATATCAAATCAATAGACTCAAATGATACACAATTTTCCAGTATTCGTTGTAGCGCAGCCTCTTTAGAGCTGACATGTGAAACTCAAATATAATCTCTAGCCTCATCGAACTGATTACGTAAAGTGAACAATCTCTTGTAGACTATAATTATTTTGCAGGATAATCGATCCCAGAGTAAGGCCTCTCTAATTTCTACACTTCGAATAATTTTTTTTTAATTTTTTCTACAACGCTCTATTTTATTTGCATTGTTGTTATTCGCTCATTATTTTTCATTTTGTTTTTAAATCGTTTTCTTAACTTAGGATGTAGATGTGGGTATGAAGAAAAAGATAGTTCTCACTTACATGCAAAAAATGACGCGACAAAATTTCAATAATAAGAATCTATTTCATAAGTCTACACGATTTGGAACAAATATGTGTGCTTTAGTCAATATACGAATTTTCTATTCGGCTGAACAATGAAAATTTATGCTGTAGCTTCCATTGATTTATTGTCTAACTCGCTCTTTAGTTCATCAAGCGTCATTTCTAACATGGTTTTAATTTGTTCGCCGTTCAGAGATATTCGATCTTTCATAAGCTCCTCTTTTGTCAAAACATTATCATTGTTGCCGTTGATAGATCGATGCAATTCAATAGGCAATTGACAACAGTCACCGATTAATCTTTCGAGCAGAAGTGGATCAGGTAGAAAGATGGATAAAGCTTGTTTAGCATATTTTATACGGCGTGTTCATATCGTTCGCATCGTCGAAGGTTTCGTGATAAGTACATGTAACGCTTTCCAATCGTGTCGCGAGTATACAGTTTTCCATAATCCTGTATAAGATCCCGAAAAGCACGATAAAACATTTATGGTGCATGAATTGTACTATAGCATCCAATCTTGCACATGCATCTTGCTGTTGTCATTATATTGTTAACAAATGTTTCTTTGATGGATAAATTAAGGGCTTCTTGGTAAAGACTAATAGCTTTTTTTAAATCATTTTTTGATGCATAAACATCACCCATTCTCCCTGAGTACGATCCAATCAAAGGATTATAATAAGCAGACAGTGATTGAGAAGACGCTATTGATAGTTCTTTTTCACGTGTGTAGCAGACTAACGCTTGTTCAACATTTTGATTTTGATAGAAGTATTTATAGCCAAGTTCACCCCATGCATCAATTATATACGAAATCCTCTCATCTATGAACATCTCATTTTCGTCATTATCGTATGTACAACAGTACTCGAGAAATGCTTGATCTGACATGCGATTGAATCGTACAAATGCTATGTCCTCGTAGAGAAAGTTATCCATATCCTCAGTTTGGTTCATAAGTGCATCGAAAATATTCCAAGCAAGTTCATAATCGCCGTTGATTTTATGAATTTGAGCGAGATTCGCCTTGAAGTAGAGTTATGTGAAATCTCATGATTAGGAAAAGAATTTAGAAGAAGAGACATATACTTCTGTGAATCGTGACTTGGACTTTCAAGACATCTATCTTACTACAACATTAAATCATTCCTTGCATATTAGTCATACATCTGTGAAATGTTCTTTGAGCTCGTGAATCTGAATAAACTATCTCTTCAAGTGAAACTACAATACACATGTTTGAAAGCTGCCGACTTCTCTTGATATACCAATTTTTTAGTAACTTTTCGCGCTCAGTCATGTCTGTTAGAAGTAAATTAATGTTTTCAGAATCATTTGTGTTCTATACAACTTATATTCAAAGTAGTAATGGGAGTACTTCTTATGATGCTTTCGAACAATAACTAACCTGCCTTGTATGAGATGTCTGTGATTGAGGTTCGTCATATAATGATGCTTTCTGATAATAATAGTAAGCTTCCATGAGTTTTCCCTTCGTCTTGAATACATTAGCCAAAGCATCGTACAAAGTAACAACCATTTTATCATGAATTTTTGGTCCATGATCGAATGAATCAGCAGTGAACGATCGAAGTGTTTTCAATTCAAAACGATCTGAATCATCACTATTCAATGTGATACTGCAGAGTGCTGGTAATTCAAGTCCACGTTGAAGGATTGGCACAGCTTCGATAAATGTTGCACAGAATTTTCTTGTAAACTCAAACTTGTTCTTATCTGAATCAGAAGATTTATCTAGTTCGCCTTCATCGTCATTGCTCGGCGATTCGTCTTCTTCGATGAGATGACATAATGTAAGTTCAAGTCTCATAAGACGTTCATTGTCAGTGATTCGTATCAACGGATCGTCTACTTGGCATATGCGGCTAAATATTGCATTCCATACGCGTTCTTTCTCATCGTAAACACAATCAATAAAATTGACAGTATGAGTTGGAGAAAGGAAGATTTCACCTTCGTCACCATTAAAGCTTAAACGACAGATAATAGCAACACCTTGCTTAGGACTGAAGTCTGTCCATTCAATATGAAAAATGACTGCCTGTATGGGATTATCATGACTGAAAGCACCTGTACCCGAGAACTTATTCGCAACAGCGAGATCGGTTGTTGTTGAAAGAAAACTATTGATGAATAGTGCTTCTCCCTTATTTTTCTTAAGTTGCTCTAGTTCCGTGAGTGATATCAACTGTCCTCGATAAAGATGCACAGTATCAGCTTTCATTCAATCTTGTTTCGTTGTTCTCAGTTCATCCTTTAATTGTCGAACGAGATCATTGAAAACAGAATGTAATTACATTATAAGGCGCAACATGTTTTGTGCTTCTCTTGCAAAAGAAAGAAAGTTCTCAATAAGAGCTGCAGAGAATATGCATCAAACTATCGACATATTCATTTTCGTCCCCGTATCTTAACGAATGTAATTCTGTGTTGACGAACCATCCCTGATTTAGGGTTTTTTCGTAAAAATTAGCATAATATCGAAAAATAACATGAATATATATATATATATATTTACACATGATGGCAGGAAGAAATCGACAACAATAGGAGAGAGAACAGAAAAGTAATGTGTTGAGAGGTAGCGTCAATATCTTACGATACACTACTATATATTGACAATGCTACACAGCATACATGCAATCGGTTGTGAGTTTGTACCAAAGATGTGAAACATTGAGTAAAGTTCTTGAAGATGAACGGTATCTGAACACATTGAATACACGTACTCTTATTTCGATTGAATGTTTCAATAGAAAATTCATTAGATTATATTTAACATTCAAAAAAGATGTTAAAATTCTACTTCTGCTATGAGTTAATCATGCGGCAAAGATGTATTTGCTTCAGTAAAGAGCAACCTCTATGTACACTTTTCTGAATAACGAGTTTTTTTTCAAGTTCCATACGAATCATTTAGAGTGTAAGGCGAAACCTATTAGATTTTGTTTTAAACTTGAACGGTTTCGCAATCTCTGCCGAACTTCAAAATTTTTGATATAAAACCTATTTTTTCTAGTGTACACTAGTAAAATCCAGAAAGATGTTCAAGGTAACCATTAGTTTTTTATTAAGTTATATTACTTTGATAAAATAAACTTTAAGAGTAAACTCTTTTCTGAGATGTCCGCTATACTTTCTCTTACTAGTTGTCCAAAATCCTGAATGCTATTAATTAACAACATTCAATGCAGTTTCCAGCATCATCTATCTATTTTTAGTATCACGTTCAAATCTCTATTTTTAATTATATATATGAGAGAATTGCAAAATTATTGTACCGTTTGATTCTTATATGTAAAAGTTTAATATCTCGAGTTTCTCTCATTCAATCTTCATGATTTTTTCAGGGTAGAATCCTCTAGTAAGTTCTCACTACCACACAACAAATTGCGATTTTATCTCGGATAGATCTTGAGATATTAGGAGCACAAGGATAAATAGTCCGACTTTGACTGCTACCTATTGGAAGAAAATGTTATATAACCGATTGGTTCTCCTTTCATTTGAACTTCAAAAGTTATAAATATTACAGTTAACAGTATGTACTTATCGGATATAAAACTGATTGGTTGTTCCATGATATTTGATATGACACTTTTTTCTGTATATCATGTGTACAGTCAACCCTTAAATTCCTGTCACGCGAGATTGAAAATGACTTTAGTATGTAACAGCGCGTCTAAAATTGGTCGGGCTGGTGTTGAACGAGAGTCGGTTGGTAGGAGATAAAAGTGACCAAAGACGATGAGAGAGTTGTGCTAGTCTTTGTTAGAATATAATGTGAAATATAAATTAAAAACATAGTTGTCACATTAAATGTCACGCGAGATTATTTTTTTGTCTGACGTATAACTCTCTTCAGGTACGGTATTTTGAGCTGAAATTTTGATCATTTTATCAGCTCATCGTGGCTAACTATCATCAAAAATATCAGCGTCAGAAAGTTTGTCTTTCGTACAAAAGAGAAGAAATAATTCAAAAATGTCACGCGAGATTTTCTGGAAAAAATGTCACGCGAGATTATTAGGTGCATAAGTACCCCACAGCTGAAGTATAATGAATACATTATACATTTAAATTGGTTTCATATTTAAGGGCCTATCAAGATTCATACCAACTATCTCTAGTTTGTGTCTCATAAGTTAGTAAACTCCAAAAAGAAAAGATCACTAACTATATACATTCTCTAATTGGCTACACATTTACTAATTCTATCGCTGTATAAGTGTAAAAACCAAATATAATTTAGACCAAATCATGTTTTTCAGTCGCTACTTCTACATTGAACATAGTTCCTTATCAAAAAAGAAAAGGCTCAATGTAAAGACCTAAAATATCGTCGAAAAATTCAACTACCGAATGTAGTATCAAAATCATTCGTCCTCAATTTTAAACAGTATTTTCAGAAAAACTCTCATATCTCGGCCAATTTGATATCGGTAGTCGGGAAAATTTACTCACATCCTCCTCTCACATAACACTATAGAATGCATTAATCATCGTTTTCAAAATCGAAAATTTTTTTTCGTCCATTTTTTTCTCGAAACGGTACAATAATTTTGCAATTCTCTCATATATATATATCACTATTTTAACTTCTAATGAAAATTGAAATCCAGTTTTCAATTTTTATAAATGATTTTGTCTTGTCTATTTTTCGTAAACTGATTTCTATTGGAATGCATGATTATTGGATTTCTCGCTAACTGCATGAAAATACTGATCAAACATCCTATTTTAACTAAACAATGTAAACAACGTTGGCTACAGAATAATAGGCTTACAGTGATTAGTGAGTCGATATTAGCGAATACATTGCACAGCAAAACTACCTTTGAAGTTTTATGTTTATCAATAAATCTCTCTGCGAACAAATTAGTAATGAAATCCTAGATTTTGTTGACGTCATCACAAACTCAATTTCATCTTTGAAATAATTTGATATCAAACAATCCAATTTTTCCGAAAACAAAAAAAAACGGTCAAAAGGCATAAAGAAAAGTAGTATAGTCAAAAATAAAGTTCAATATTCGAATTTTATTTTATAAATGCAAATAAATATTTAACTTGATGCCATGTTCGAATCTTAAAGTATAAAATTTTCTCTTTCAAAAATTTTTTATCATTTTTTCACACCTGATCAAAATTAGACGATTCTTCTGTTCGCTTGCAGGAAAGAGAATGGAAAGAAAAAAATTGTAGCGTTGATTTATGACCAAACGGACGGTTATTGTTTATCATATGCATATGACCTATTGACAGTAAGGAAAATAAAACGAAACATTCGTCTCATTCTTCATATATTCATAGCTATGAAGGGTACAATTGCTTCTCTTGTTTTACTCGCTCTAGAGCTTACACTTTGTCTTATTTCATCACGTTGGCATTCAGTTGATGTTGATGACTCTCAAATATGTTTTAAAAATATTTTTCTTCGATTCAATACATCTTCATCAAAACATCAATCTTTACATGTTGGTCCATTATTTTCAACTCATATTTCCAAAATAGATAATGCTCCTGAACATTTTTCATCTGATCATGCTAAAACTGAAATAGCTTTATTGATTACTGGTATTGTTCTTATAATTATTTCGGCAGTTTGTTTATCATTAATTGAATTTTGTTCAAGTAAATCTATTTTTAATCGATATCGTATTTGGTTTTATTTAGTCAATGTTCTTCTATTAACAATGAGTTTAATTATATTAATTGTTGGCTTTTATTCATTACAACATATTTTGAAACAACCATTAAATGGTGCAGCAGCTCTGGGATTTTTTATTGGTATTTTATTCATAGTTATGTTAGCTACACATTCCGCTATAACATTTTGGACACATGCTTGGGATATGCGTACGAAAAAAGTTGTAACATAGATTATATTTTTTGTGTTAAAAGTGTAGATTTTTTTGTAAATAAAAGTTATTTGATATGTAATTTATAATTTTTTTCTTCAAAAGTCTCAATGGACTTGATTGAAGAACGTCGACTTATGGGTTATCGTCGATCTTGGATCCGGTCCAGTCAATTGAGACCTCTATCCTGAACGAAAGGCCTTCGTTTTTTTTGTGAATAATGCGTTTTCATTAAATCAATTACTCTAAAAATAATCTTGCTGGGAAACATTCGGCATAATGATATACTCCATTTTTTGGATGAATGTTTGGTAATCACGCGAAGTTTTTTATTCGTTATCCTTTTGACTTCTCCAAACTGAGTTTTTCTTATTGATGGCGCAAAGCTGTACTTGCCATTATTCAAATAAGAAATAAAAAAAGAAAGTTTCATTGGAAGTGAAGTGTGGAAAAGTGCTATTACATCTCTGAGCAAGAGTCTTTGTCACTCATTCTTCTTGTATCGAACTTCTTTGGTCTCGAATTGATATTGGCCACAAGAATGATATAAAAACTATATTTTTATCTAGTGTATGTTTGATGACGATCTGCTTCAATGAACAATTGCTGCCATTCGATACAATCGACACCCACAACAAACAAGTTGATTGATAAAATACTTCATGGATGGGTTATCTCTTTTTTAAACATTTTCTAAATATTTTACTAGTTTCACCTTATATATATTTGTATCGTCGCCTGTAGCGCATTCTCGGAAGAGCTTCGAGTTGACGACAAAGAAAGTTTAACGATCCAAATGGGTAAAGCAGTTAGTAGACACCAAAAAAAAAGGAAAACTTAGATTTGTAATGTTGCCCGATTTTATTTAACTAGCATTCACTTGAGACCATATAGATTCTATACGAAAAGTATGAGAAAGGGGAGCAAACAACTTTTGTTCAGGAAGTATGTCATTTGGCAAATAATTTCAGTTTTTATTTCGTGAGAGATTGTTAAGTCAGGAGATGTCTCTCCTGACATAACGAGACTCCATGTTCTTATGATATCATCACTGTGCATCAATGGTATTTTTACTCTTCTTTCTCAATGGCTCTTCCATCATAGATAACGAATGATAGAGAGTGGAATAAGAGAAAGAGAGAGAAACAACATTCTTTGCTGCTTTTTTTTGTTTTGATTCATTCGCTTGTTTGGTTTTGAAAAGAAAGGAAGAGGAATAATAAAGAAAACGGGTAAAGGACCCTAACAGAGATTAAAATATTCTTCCTAGAGGATTATAATAAGTTCCCCTTTAGGGAAAAAATTATGCAGAGATTCTTTGAAAATACTACTTCATTGTCGAGAAAATCAAAATTTTTTATTT